TGCGCAATGAGGTTCATTTAACAAGAAATCTCTGAGAAGGAAATCCATGACAGCGTTGGCATCGGCTTCGGTAGCCAAATGTGGCTTTAATTCTTGAAAATCTGCATCTTTCGTTGCAGCAGCAGCTGCTAGGTTAACATTTTGCAAAGTTACCCGGCTGGTTGATGACACTGAAAAGGGCCTGCAAGCAAAATGCAAATTTCTACTCAAAAAAAAACCGTTTTCTAGTTGTCACATTGTTTTGACAGGTTTGTGCAAGTTTGGAAAACTAAAACGGTTTTGCTAAACCATCTGCTCCAGCCTAATGGTGCTTGAAAAGAAATAAGTAATCTTAGCAGCTACGCAGAAACTGCAAATGTCTTTTCAACTAAGGAGCAGTAATAATGTATAAACACAATTATTTCTTATCCTAAGCAGTCATTCTTATCTGTAAAACTACATGAACTGCACATGTCAAGTCAATAAATCACGAAAAAAATATTTAAATTATAAATTACTATCAAAACTTTCTGCCTGATTAAAGCATATTTTGTATTTTTCACCCAGCACTCATTTGCTCCGCCTAAATAAGTATCACTCCACTTAACACAATAATAACATCAGCAAGTATCAATCAATATATATCGAAATTGTCTGATCAAATAGCATTCACAATCGTCTTTAACTAATCCTACTTCAAATTCTTCATATAAAACAAATGGCTTTTGTAAGTAGCCAATTTTGGCAGTAATAAAACAAACAGAAAAGAAACTGAACTGATAAACTTGCAAAGAAAGATAAAATTACGTTATACCTTGAGCACTTCAGCAAGTTTTCTAAATGCCATAGCTTTGCCGTTGACAACCTTCTGGGCAAATAGAAAGCTGAGCGAAACATTTCTCTTCCATACACAAAGAATCTAAAAATCAATAGAATCTTTTTTGTTTTAATTTTTTCATTTAAACTTCAATTAAGTAGACCAAATGCAGAAAAAAAACAGAAAAGAGAGCGAACACCACTTACCGTTTTTCCAGTGCTTCTTTGATTATCTCAACAAACTATTTTTATAGGATATACGTCTGTGCATTTTCTTTTTGTTTTTTGTCTCCCCCCCCCCC